GGGGGCGGCGGGAGGGGCGAGGGGGGCGGCGGCGAGGGGGGGCACTTCGGGGGCGTCGCCCCGCCGCCGCTGCACGGCTACAGCAAGAGCGAGGAGCTGGCGACCCCTCCCCAAAAACACATCACGCACAGCCACAGCTACAGCGACGAGTTCGGGCGGCCGGGCGGCGACTTCGGGCGCAGGCAGCTGTCGCTCCAGGACACGCTGGCCCCCCCCCAGATCACCATCGGGGGCCCCCCGCCGCCCACCCCGCGGGGGTCGCGGGCGGGGAAGGGGGGCGGGGGTCCCTCGGCGCTGGGGGTGCCCCAGAAGCCGCGCCCGGCCAGCGGGAACCTGCTGGCCTCGCCCGAGCCCGCCTACGGCCCGGCCCGCTCCCGCCAGCCCTCGCTGGCCAAGGAGGCCTCGGTGGCCAGCATGAAACCGCCCATCACCAAGCAGGTGAGGGGACAGCGGGGACAGCGCGGGGACAAAGGGGACAGCGCGGGGACAGCGCGGGGACAGTACCGGGGACAGCTGGGAGAGAGGGGACAGCGCGGGGACAGCGCGGGGACAGAGGGGACAGTGCCGGGGACAGAGGGGACAGCGCGGGGACAGCGCGGGGACAGCAGCGGGGACAGAGGGGACAGCGCGGGGACAGTAGCGGGGACTGAGGGGACTCTGGGGACAGAGGGGACAACGGCGGGGACAGCGGGGACAGTACCAGGGACAGCGGGGACCGAGGGGACAGAGGGGACGTGGGGGGATATGGGGCGTTGGGGATATGTGATATGTGGGGATATGGGGACATTGGGGACATGGGGGACACGGGGGACATTGGGGGGCTATGGGGACATTGGGGACATTGGAGGCACTGAGGGATGCGTGGCATATGGGGACACTGGGACGGGGACATTGGGTGTGGGGCCATGGGGACACACAGGGTGGTGAAGGGGGAACCAAACTCATGTTTGTGTCCCCCTGTGTCCCCCCCTGTCCTCCTGTCCCCACATCCCCATGTCCCCATGTCCCCCCATCCTTGTGTCCCCTATGTCCCCAATGTCCCCCCGATGAGGGGGACATTGGGTGTGGGGACATGGGGACATGGGGACACGCTGGGTGGTGAAGGGGGAACCAAACTCATGTTTGTGTCCCCCTGTGTCCCCCCCTGTCCTCCTGTCCCCTCATCCCCATGTCCCCATGTCTCCCCATCCTTGTGTCCCCGATGTCCCCAATGTCCCCCCGATGTCCCCCTTTATCCTCGTGGTCACCGTGTCCCCCATTTCTTCCATATCCTCGTATTCCCCGTGTGCCCTCACTGTCCCCATGTCCCCTCACTATCCCTGTGTCCCCATGCTGTCCCTTAACTGTCCCTGTGTCCCTGTGTCCCTATGTCCCCCCCTCACCCATGATCCCACACTGTCCCCGTGTCCCCATGCTGTCCCCTCTCTGTCCTGGTGTCCCCTCACTGTCCCCATGTCCTCACACTGTCCCCATGTCCCTGTGTCCCCTCTCTGTCCCCATTGTCCCTGTGTTCCCATGCTGTCCCCATGCTGTCCCCTCACTGTCCCCGTGTCCCTATGCTCATGCTGTCCCCATGTCCCATCACTATCCCCATGTCCCCTCACTGTCCTGGTGTCCCCACTGTCCCCATGCTGTCCCCTCACTGTCCCCATGCTGTCCCCTCAATCTCTCCATGTCCCTTTGTCCCCTCACTGTCCCTGTGTCCCCTCACTGTCCCCTTGTCCCTTCACTGTCCTATGTTCCCACTGCCCCGTGTCCCCACTGTCCCCATGTCCCCTCCCTGTCCCTGTGTCCCCATACTGTCCCCTCACTGTCCCTGTGTCTCTGTGTCCCCTCACTGACCCCGTGTCCCCTCACTGTCCCCATGTCCCCTCACTGTCCCGGTGTCCCCACTGTCCCCATGTCCCCTGACTGTCCCATGTCCCCTCACTGTCCCCATGTTCCCTCCCTGTCCCGGTGTCCCCTCACTGTCCCCATGTCCAATCACTGTCCCATGTCCCCTCTCTCTCCCCTTGTCCCCTCACTGTCCCCGTGACCCCGTGTCTCCTCCCTGTCCCCATGCCCACTCACTGTCCCCTCCCTCTCCCCTTGTCCCCTCACTGTCCCTGTGTCCCAACACTGTCCCCTCACTGTCCCTGTGTCTCTGTGTCCCCTCACTGTCCCCATGTCCCCTCACTGTCCCTGTGTCTCTGTGTCCCCTCACTGACCCCGTGTCCCCTCACTGTCCCCATGTCCCCTGACTGTCCCATGTCCCCTCACTGTCCCTGTGTCTCTGTGTCCCCTCCCTGTCCCCATGTCCCCTCACTGACCCCGTGTCCCCACTGTCCCCATGTCCCCTCACTGTCCCGGTGTCCCCACTGTCCCCTCACTGTCCCCCATGTCCCCTGACTGTCCCCATGTCCCCTCCGTGTCCCCGGTGTCCCCACCGTCCCCATGTCCACTCCGTGTCCCCGGTGACCCCACTGTCCCTGTGTCCCCTCACTGTCCCGTGCCCCCACTGTCCCCATGTCCCCTCCCTGTCCCCATGTCCCTTTGTCCCCTCACTGTCCCCATGTCTCCTGACTGTCCCATGCCCCCTCCCTGTCCCTGTGTCCCACGTGTTCCTGTGTCCCCTCACTGTCCCCACTGCCCCCTCACTGTCCCATGTCCCCTGACTGTCCCCATGTCCCCCCCGTGTCCCCGCGTCCCCTCCCTGTCCCTCACTGTCCCCTCCCTGTCCCCATGTCCCCTCACTGTCCCCGTGTCCCCTGACTGTCCTGTGTCACCACTGCCCCGTGTCCCCACTGTCCCCATGTCCCCTCACTGTCCCTTGTCCCTTCACTGTCCCCGTGTCCCCTCACTGTCCTGTGTCACCACTGTCCCGGGTCCCCTGACTGTCCCCATGTCCCCTCCGTGTCCCCTCCGTGTCCCGGTGTCCCCCCCGTGTCCCGGTGTCCCCGCAGGCGTCGCAGACGCCGTCCACGCTGAACCCGGTGCTGCCGGCGTCGGAGCGCACGGTGGCCTGGGTGTCCAACATGCCGCACCTGTCGGCCGACATCGAGAGCGCGCACATCGAGCGCGAGGAGTACAAGCTCAAGGAGTACTCCAAGTCCATGGACGAGAGCCGGCTGGACCGGGTAGGGCCGGTGTGGGGGACACAGGTGTGCCAGGTGTGCCCAGGTGTGCCCAGGTGTGCCCAGGTGTGCTCAGGTGTGAGGGACACAGGTGTGACTGGTTCAGGTGTGCTCAGGTGTGCTCAGGTGTGCAGGGATCCAGGTGTGAGGGGTACAAGCTCAAGGAGTACTCCAAGTCCATGGACGAGAGCCGGCTGGACCGGGTAGGGGCGGTGTGGGGGACACAGGTGGGCCCAGAG